TATCAAAAATACTATGCATTTTGACCAAGCATAGTAATTTTGCCAGAATCATAGAAAATTTGTTGACATTCATAGTCAACTATACTGAATTCATAGTAGATTTAACGGTAATAAGCATGGTTATATTGAGAATAAGTGTTTTCTGCAAAAAAGTATTCCTAACTATGGTCCTTGTTTCAGTGTACAAACAACCAACGGTAGTGTCTACCAATTCAGGATAATAGGCAAATAGCAGGAGTGGTAGTGGGAATGTTAAACAATAATAGTAACTTTAGTGACTAAAATAACGAAAAAAAAGTGACCAAATAGTAACTTTAAAACAATAAAAGAGTGACCAATAGTGAAATGTATTGATCGAAAAACATTGTTCCAGTCTATCGTTGAATGCGACCCTCTTCGAGAAATTTAATAGACTCACAATTACTACCCATTAAGAGCATTTTTCATGTTCATTTGAGATAAAACAAATGGTTTAAGGATCCCATAAATTTAATCTCAAAAAATATTATATGATTTATTATTATTTAGTAGCACAATAATAACTTTATTAATTGAATAAGCAAGTGCATTTTCCATTTCCTCATTTTACACAAATTTTTCTGACACTGTTTAATGAGAACAAACCATTTACTTAGATGATTTTAGATTCAGATCATGAATTGGTGGTGATTAGAACTAAAAATTGGGTCACAGAGAAAATTGTTGAAATTCTCGAACAAAGGTTCATTTTTACAATTTTAAGATTGTAAGATTCAGGGATAAATTTTACATTGTTTTAATGCTGTATCTTGAAAATTCAAGGTAGGAGAAAATTAGTACCGTCCCAATGAGGCGTTCATCTAGATAAAATTGATAAATAGCAGATTTTTAGCGATGGGCCCAATCTTAGATCCACAGGCCAATATTAGAGCTATTGCCCCTACATGATTTTAATTCTCGATGTTTGGACAAAAACTAAAGCTAGCGAGCTCCAAAGATTAGTCAAATTTCTTGTGTTTGAGAAATGCCTAGAGTATGAACATTTTCCTAGACCATTTTCCTACACCAAGGGCTTGAACAATCAAGATAACGAAGTGAAAAAGCCACGACATTGGGATCAGAATTTTCATCGAAAGAAAATGTGTGATGAGTATATGACTACATCAATGTTACGAGCAAAGAAATTTTAATCACCACACACACCACAAAAAAAACAAAATTTTGATAATTTGCTTTATGTCAAATTATGTTTCATAATTTACATAAATTTTTAAAGTCCGATATTTGACATATTTTTAAAAGTCCAGTTACATATAAATTTCTCCAAAGATATTAGGCCGAACTTTACTGGGTTGAGTAGGAATTTTATTAAGCTACAGATTGGTAGACGATTTTTATTGAAGGCTAGGCTAGACCAGTTGGTTACATTCTTGTGAACTTTTCGAGATTCAGACTTACAAAATCTTAAATTTTAAATATGGCACTATTTTTAATATTTCAGATTAACAGAAAACCTTAATCATGAACTAATATAAAAATGAAGGATTCTGACATATTTATGAATTATCTCGATAAGAATGTCAAATAAGTTTTGATGAGAATAGTGGCAATTCTGGGGAATTCTGAGCACAATTCGACTAGAAGTTCTTGGTAATTTTGAAAAGCATTTCAATAAAATTGTCAGGAGAACTAAAGGTGAATTACTAAAGAAGAAAACTAAAGAACTAACGATGAATACGACTAAATATATCTTAAAAGTTATGCAATCACTCAATCGATCATACAATTTTGCGAGATAATAATTCCAAAAGCATTTAATATAGTTGGTTGGAAATGCTATCTAGCATGAAGATTTTTTAGTGTGATAATTTATTAGCTAGAGAATGGTCTTAGAAGAGGGTAGGTAGATAGTTCCGTTAGAGTACGGCAGTATGAAAATTGAATAGAAGCTGAAAATGAGCGAAGGGCCATTAAAGCGACAGTACAAGTCAAACGCACACTTTTTTGCCTAGCCCGACCATTCTCTAGCTAATAAATTATCACACTAAAGCTTCATGTTAGATAGCATTTCCAACCAACTCTGAAAATCGCAAACTTCGCGTATGAAGTAACTTAAAAACACTTTGAATGCATTTAATAAAATTTAAATAAAAAAAATCATTGCAGAATTTCAGGCTAGTTTGAAGATAGTTTCCAGGGTGCCAGAGGAAATTTTCAACATTATTTCCATAAAAATTGGAGTAGCATTCCAGGAGATTCTAAAAATATTTCCACTTCTTAGGAAAGTCTTATGAGAATTCTAAGAAAATTCCAAGAGATGAATCCAAGACACCATTCTGAAAAGAATTTCAAAGGAATTCTCCGGAATTTTTTAGGTGAAATCCAAAGAAAACAGTTTTCTGATGAATATTTTAAGAAAAATTATGAAGGAAAATTAACGCAAATTATCGCGAGAATTATAAAGAATACGAAGATAAATGTAGAGTGAATTTTCAGAGTATTCTGGAGGAAACTCCTAAAGTGTTCTGCACAGAATGCACAGAATTTCGAATCTGTTATGGAGAAACATTCTAGGAAATAACGGAGAGAATCATAAAATTCTAAAAGTGAATCCTGAAAAGAACACTCACGATTCAAATCTGATCCCGAAAAAGTCACGAATGACCTAACATGTACTAAAGTGACTAGGGGGAATGGATGTAATGTCGGCCTAAATGCCCCTAATTTTGGCCCATACATAAATTCAGCAATCGACTAAATTTTCAATAGCGACCAAAAATATCCATTAGTACCGTCCCAATGACGCGTTCATCTAGATAAAATTGATAAATAGCAGATTTTTAGCGATGGGCCCAATCTTAGAACCATAGGCCAACATTAGAGCCATTTCCCCTAAACCACCCGGAACTAAAATGAATAGATAAACTTAAGGAGCGTTCAAGACTAGTTCAGGGTCAGAGATAAGAGGGTACCCTTGAAACGGGTTTCAGAAAATTCTGCTGTTTTGAATGTATTAAATTCTTTGAGTTCCTGCAGCTTCAGAAGCAGTAGGTGTGGGAAAGGTCTCAAATAGCCTAGTCAGTTAAGGCGGTTCGGTTCAGGAAAATACCGGTGGTGTAGTGGTAAGCGTGACTGCTTTCTAACACCCCGATGGGTCTGGGTTCAATCCCAGCCGAGGTCGGTGGGATTTTTCTGAGGCATAAAAATCTCTGGTCACGTCTTCCTTCGGAAGGGAAGTAAAGCCGTTGGTCCCGGCCCATGTATGTTGAATGGGTGCGATATCCTACGCAGGTGTGGAAGCTGCCTTCCTGCACATTCGATTGCTGTCAATGGATGGCAATCGATGTCCGTCGGTGATTGGCACTAGATTGCGGAACAGAGACCGACGTTAAATAAAGGAAGACAAAGACATAAACTTGAAATAAAAATCCTACTAAATCATTTTCAGAAAATATGTTGCTATTTACTTCTCAATATTACCAGTCCTCTAATTATATTCTACACAATACTCATCAGAGACACCAAGTTTTTAATAGCTGGTATGAACACTTGAGTAAGAAGTCGAATAGGTATCGATCAGAAATTTGCTGAACACCATGTTTTCAATAGCTTATGAGCACTTGAACAAGTAAGAATTGATTTTAAAGTTGAAAAATGCTATTATAAGAATGGTTTAAAAAAATTTGATAAGCTTTTCGCAAAATCCTTGGAAATATGTTAAAAAGAAACGATTTTGTTAAGAGCCTTTTAAACTGAATAATACATTCCTCAGTATTATTATACAGTTAACTCTCCACAGATCAATTTCCAATAACTCGATATCGAGTTATAGAACCAAAGTAACAATGAACTTCATGGCTACTGTGATGGTGATTTCCTATGGGATAGTTCAAGACCAACAATTGAAATGGCCTTAACTCCATTTTGTAAACAAACCTTGTAAGGCCATTTTCTCGCGAACCGAAACCTTCATACGCAAACCTAAACCACAATCGGGTAGAGGAGAATTTCACCTACCTGTTCATTATGTTGGTTTTCCTTTGCGGACTTCGGTTCGCGAGAAAATGGCCTTACAAGGTTTGTTTACAAAATGGAGTTAAGGCCATTTCAATTGTTGGTCTTGAGTTGTTCTAAAACTCGTTGGTTCCTTCATTATCGAACTGTAGTGAGTTTACCGTAATTCAAACTATCATACAAAAAACTATGCCTTCATTTTGGGGATTTATCACAAACTGGTTGTCAAAGTGATGTTCCAAAGATTTAATTATGTAAAAAATGTATGAACAAAATGATACATCCACCTTGTTCGTCATTCTTGGATCTAGTTCCACCGCCAAGAGACTATGTACCGTGTGGTGCCGGTGTTCTCAAGTAAAAATTGGCATTCATATTTAACTGATTACAATGAATTATTCAACTTTGATAATTATAACATTAAAAAATTTTCTATTAGTCAGCAATTACAATTTTTGATAAGACATTAAGTCAGGTCTTTACTTAGGATCCACAAGCTCGACATGTATTTTTCTATCCTTACCCTCATTCCATCGAATAAAATTTAAAAACCAAAATATAAAAACAATCCTGCCGTGGACCAATATCTACCAACACTGCCGGACCGTACATAGTTTGCCTTTCTCCGATTAGTAACTGCTGTTGCCGCTGTGGTTGTAGAGCATGCGACGATGGACTGCTTCTTCTTCTTCTCCTCCCTGTCCCACCAGCTTGATTTATGCTCTGTTTGATGTGCTTCGTTCGAGTTTGTTCCTCCTCACTCACGCTCTCCTCAATGTGTGTGCAAGCAACCGAGTAACCTCTCCCATACCTACACAACTCTGCTGCCTTGCCTGCTGCACAAATAATGGGATTCCGCAAACGTACCACAATCCAGTTTTCCAATGCCCCATCCATTCACTTTGGCACTAGATATGTGATCGCGCAACAATTTTCCAACATCTTTTTTGGGTGATTCATTTTTACTGCCCTAAACGGTACTCCCCTCGAACAAAAAAACTACCTACCTTTGCCAGGACACTCGGCGAGCATTATACGCGTAAAATTGGAACCAAAATCAACGGAAATTCCGCACTTTTTAAACAATTTCGGACGCGACCTAAACCAAACCAACCGAACCGAACGACGACGTACAGAGAGATTGGGCGATGTTGTGTCGTGATGCTTTCAAACTCACTACACTCCTCTACACCACTACTTCGCGATTACATTTTTCTCCTTCTCTTTTCTGAAACACCACCACCATACCAACGAGCCCTGTGGCTTGCACCAGTGGCACACAGTGGTGTGCGTGTTATGTGTGTAGGCACCGAAACGAAAGCTTTTGATTGTGTGGAAGATTGGCTGACTTCGCAGAAAGCGAAGTTTGACATCAGGCTGTTTGTCTTTTGTGACGCTTTGTGATGGTTAATTTTAGAACATCCATTTAAATGGGTACACTCAAAAATATTACTATTCACAGATAGATTAAAATTTAATCATTTTATGCTTTATCAATATTTATACATTGAATCTAATTCTTTTTTTGTCAAAATTATACTAAGTCTGAATACCGATGAAGTATTCGTTCAGTGTATACTGCTGATTTAGCCTTTGACATGATTTAAAAAAAAAAGTGAGCAGAATCCAGGACAGAAAACCGACGGAGGAAATTGAAGTGGGGCTCGGTCAGATGACAACAGTCCCAGAGACCTGACGCAAGACGGCTGGAAGAATATCTTCCGATGCTTCCGATGGATGAATTTAAGGTGAGTTGATATTTATGTTAAAGTTTACTTAGGCACCACTTCGCTCGATCTGCTGACATTTGTTTTATGAAATCATTTCCTTTCTGCTCGACCCGTTCTACCCTCTAATTCCAGCGATGAAGATGCCAAGTATGTCTTCCTGCCGTAGTATAAGACATTTCGCTTCACAGATTGATCGCTTCGAAAATCGATTTGTGCTGTTAGTCGTTTTCATGAATAAAAATAAGGAACAGAAACCTGAGCTGGAAAGTAGGTGACACCGGAGAAATTCGCGGCGACTGAAATACGCTGGTAATGGTGAAAGAGCACATAGTAAGGGCCCTCTGTTGACTGTAGATGAATTCGCTAACATCCGGATCGGAGAGCGAACAACTCTACTACGACAACAAAACCCTACCGGCGTCGATTCTTTCGGCTTTTGGATTGCAACTGTTGCGTGGCCGAAGAAATATGGTCGGTGTCGGTAGTAAAGTTATATCCGTGCTAATATTGGTACATCCTCATGTAGCACTAAGCGATAAAGTAAAATGATGACATTGTAAATGTTTATTGCTAGAAAAATAAAAATGGTTCAATGTTTTAATCCTGTGAACAAATTGATAAATTCAAAAGAAACCAAAAATCAAAACAAAAACGCAAAGCAATCTAAAACCAGCATACAGCAAGACTAATCACTGCATGTATAAAGTATATTTAAACTGAACTATCCTTAATCCAGTTTTATACTAGGCGTGCATTCTCTGTCTTTATACCAAGCTATGCGTCGGTCACACGGATAGAAATCTCCTTATACCTTTTGGCAAATTTCTATTGCTGATTATTCATAAAATGTATAAGTCAACTAATAAACAGACGCCTCGCAAAAAGTTAATGAAGCTCATGTGTCAAATGAAATGTATAAGCGGTCACACATACCTTTTATGCATTCTTGTAGGACCTATGTGGTTTGTCATATGGAATGTATAAGGCTGATGCTTTGGCAAAAATGTATAAGTGAAACACATGAATAAAATAATTGATTTTCGTTTCGTGCAGGAGAGTTGCGATTTAGTGTAACTTTTATACTATTTAGATTTGAATATTTTTTTAGTGTAGAGTACAAGGCATTAGCTGGGTTTAAGGGGAAGATTACAGCCCCAAATAAAATATTTTCGGCACGTTTTTATATCTCTAAAAACATTGGAAAAAATTATCAAAAATCCAAGAAAATCAGTTTCTTCTTTAGATTCTTGAGAAAATTTACATGTTAAAATGGTTTTTCTATCTCATCATGAAAAAATATTGGACTCTCAGCAAAACCGAAAAGTTGATGTTTTGTGGTTTTTTGAGTCCAACTTTATGCCATGATAAATTACACAAAAATATGTTTGCACGTGAATTTTCTTTAAAAAAAAATACGAAAATATGTGATTTTTTTTAGATTTTTGATATCTTTTCCCAATAATTTTAGAAAAATCGAAACTCAAATTTTTTTTCGGAGCGGTATACTTCCCCTTAAGGTTTAATTTACTTAGGCTGTGTTCCATTTGAAGAATGTTCACTTAAATTTGATAGATGAAAAATTTCAAATAATCCTGCTATTCTACCAGACTTATTTCTGACTGACAAGGAATTTGACAAACACCTTCTCGAAATACTGAAAGAGAGATTTTCGAATGTTGGCGAGATAAATTTAGCTGGTTAGTTCTGACAGAAAGGAAGCCTGATTTTGTCAACCATGGCTGAATTAATAATGTTACCATGCTTCTGCGCTAATTTTCCTTCAGATGTCACTGATGTTCTTAATGATGACATCTATCAGAAATTACGCATACACTTAGTTCCGTTAATAGTTTACAGAGGGTAATGCCAACAATCAATACGAAACTAACGATTTTAAATTGGCTCACCACTTTAGTAGCCTATTGGTCCCAAGCAAACGATTAATACCACAGACAGACATACAAATTAGTACCGTTGTACTCCTTTAATCAAGTACCTCAAAACGTACAATTTGTGGTACTAGCTTAAAGCAGTACAACGGTAGTACAACAGTGAACTTTGTATGTCTGTACAAGGTATAACGTACCCTATTCTAGTTGAAATTCTATTACTACACTATGTTTGTTTTGATTCGCTATGAAAGTTTGACAGATAACATCAGGGGTGTGTGGATTCATGCAGAACATGCAGGGGTGAGTGAAATAGCTTGGGACTGCTTGGGACCGTTGTTCTGGTACTGAGTGAGCCAAAAATAATAATGATTTTCTTCGGGACCCAGTGGTCTTAGAGTTACCTCTATGGTAATGCCATAGAGGTAACTCTAAGACCACTGGGTCCCGAAGAAAATCATTATTATTTTTAGCTCACTCAGTACCAGAACAACGGTCCCAAGCAGTCCCAAGCTATTTCACTCACCCCTGCATGTTCTGCATGAATCCACACACCCCTGATGTTATCTGTCAAACTTTCATAGCGAATCAAAACAAACATAGTGTAGTAATAGAATTTCAACTAGAATAGGGTACGTTAATCGTTTGCTTGGGACCAATAGGCTACTAAAGTGGTGAGCCAATTTAAAATCGTTAGTTTCGTATTGATTGTTGGTAATGCGGTCAAGACATGTATGATTCCTCTATATATGCAGTTAGATTAAAATCTGAAGTCCCTCCTTTCTACACATTCTGGACAAAAAATACTTTCCATGCCCCGCCTCTGACAGGATTTTCCGAGGGATTTTCCACCATTTTTTTATGAATGGAGCGGGGCAGAAAGTATATTTTGAATATGTAAAAAGGGAGGGGCCTCGGATGTTAATCTAAATGCATATATAGAGGTACCAGCAAGGGGTAGGTCACTCTGCACACCAATCTTGGGTCATCTTTTTTATCAAGGCCCACGCATATTAGATCCGGATGGGACGCGTTGCGGCAAAGTGACAGCTAAATCTATTGTCTAACTGTCAAATTTACGTCAACGCAACGCAAACGGATCTTATGTGGGTGGCCCTTCAGTGTGCCGGTTGTGCCGGTCATAGAGCAAGCTGCGATTGTTTGTAAAATACCCAGTATTTCTGACACCTTGAATGTTTTGGTTTGAAATCGCAAGGATAAATCGGTCTAGTTGGAACCAAAGAGAAATGCAATGTCTACATCGGTTGTAGATGATGCTCAAATTCATAGTATTCGTTCGCCAGCCGATAGACGATGACGCGGGAAGTGGCGGGTGTGTTTGTGTTCACAAGATAATAAAAGTCCTCAAAGGCAGACAAGAAACCTAGCCTTTCGTGATATGAAAAGCAACCGGTGGGCAACATTGTTGGAGACCAAATTTAGAAGATGATGAATATAACTTCTGTAGTTTGTTTTGTGTGCGTTGCACTATTTGAATTAAGGCAACTAATGGGGCTGATTAGCTGCCTCTTTTTCTCGAGCCCACGCTAGAACCTAGATTTCGGATTTAAATCTATAAGAGAACCCAGAAGTGAACTGCTGGTCTGCGTTCCTACACAAACAACAAAAATTATATCAATAAAAATAATGCATTTTTAAATTGAAAGTGTCCCTAAATTCCTTGTTTCAACCGAGGTTTCAACATCGAAAATATTCGAAAAAAAGTTAGTTTTTTAAATTGAAAGTTCGCTTTTGACCGAGGGGGGCGACACATCTAAATCTCAATGTTAGATGCTCAAAAAATCTCACACTAGCGAATCATTCTTCGAAAAATCTTCTTGCATTTTTCAATCTTCAGAATCGTCATCAATTGTCTTTCTATCTACTCAGCGCGTGAGAAGCTAGCCACAGCAAAACACAATCTTTCCTGCAGCGTAGATAGAGTCGTCCCCCTCGCTTTTGACCCGTGATTTTAAAAGTGCATAGTTTTAAAACAAAAATTGTACAACTGTTTAAAATACCCCTTCATCGATGTTTTTACTGGCTACACTGAAATCTCATTTGCCGCCTTTTCCGTTAGTCTGGCTGCTGTGAATATGACATCCAGCTCAGAAGTAGCAACTCGAGTGATTCTTCCCATTCAGCATCTTTTCTTCGATGGATATTCTGGCATTATTTGCTGGACCTACGAAGTGATCCAAGTGCAATTGACATTCCAAACGGTAAGTTCACTATTTTCAATGTTATAGTTTCTGATTTTTAGATTCTTTTTTATATCAGACTACGCAATTTGCCAGGACGACCTGTTGAAGGATCAAGCCCTACGGAAGCGCTACGCAACCTCTGCCTTCAATGTAAAAGTTTGCCTCCTAGCAGCAAGAGTGATTTTTATATCTTTCATTGCATAACGTCAAATTAATAATTATTGTAAACCAAACAAATTAAAAAAAATAGAATGTCAAATGAAAAATTATGTATTTCAAAATATTGTGATAGTTTCAACCTCGTGTCCAACACATATATATCATGTGTTTATCACATTGCAAAAAATCATGTGTGGGACACATACACATAATCATTGAATTTTTATTAGTGTAGAATCAAAAAAATTATTGTAAATTGGTGTCCTATCCCTGATAAGGCATTCACCACTTTTAGTACAATCCAGATCGACGAATGCGCTTTCCGACAGCATAAAAGCTCGGAAAGCTCCGAACATTGTTACGCTATCATTCTTATTTTGTATTTACACCCTTCACAGAGGTCGATGAGCAGCGGGAGCTGCTTCGTCAGTGCTCAGAAGATTGGTTGCTCTTCGGTAAGATTTTTTTTTTATCAATGAATACATAACAATAAACAAAATCGTTCAAGCTTTGTTTATCTCTGCCGATAGCTTTGTGCGTGTATTCTGTAATGTGTATCACAGAGTACGTATGTGCCATCTAGTACCACCTGCCCAGTACACAGTGCAATACAAATCAAACGATAGACAATAATGCAGATTCTAGCCATGAAAGACGACATCATCTATCTGGTCCTGCTAGGATCGTGCATCGGATTCGGTCAATTCTACCGCAAAGTTCAGGAATCCGACCAGAAGAAATGGATCGGAACTGCATTTGGACTACTCGTGGTGCTCACAGCGTCCGGCTTTCACACGTTGCATATGCTGTTCTGTTATCTGGTGTCAGCTCTTATCATAATTTACTTTAACCGCAAGTAAGAACAAACTACACTTAAGGTTTCCCTTATCACATTCAAAAATATTAATCTTTATTTTTAGGAAATGTCACCTCATTAGTTTTGCCTTCATGTTTGGGTACTTATTCTTCTTCCGATCGGTTACGTATTTAGGCTTGGAGGCACCACCAGGTCACTCCAATATGATTCTGATGATTCTCACTTTGAAGTTGGTAGGATTGGCATTCGAAGTCAATACAGCCCATCTCAAGGCGGTTGCCATTGGGGAATCAAAGAAAAGCGAAGATGACAAACCTTTGCAGGGTCTGACCGAAAACGAAAAAGCTCTCCTAAACTTGGATATGCTGGATATCTTTCATTATAGTTTCAATTACGTTGGTATTTTAACCGGGCCGTATTTCACGTACAAGACGTTTCGAGACGCAATCTATTTGCCGTTCAGTGCCAAGGCAAACTGCATCGAACATACGCTGGAGAAGCTTAAGGTCGTTCCCCTTTATGCTGGATTATTTCTGTTAATCTCCTACATTTGGCCATTGGATGTACGTTGGCGAGTCCGTCGGGGGTGTTTTGGAAGCCTAAGGAATGCTAATTGTTGTTTTTTTGTTTCAGTATGCCACATCTACTGAGTTTTACGAGGAACGTTCGTTCATCTATCGTTTGATGTACGTTTGGCCGACATTCTTCATTTTCCGCATGCGTATCTATACTGGAATTATGCTGAGCGAATGCGTCTGCACGATGGCTGGATTTGGCGCCTACCCGAAGGTGTGCGAAAATAAAGCCGGACACGGCCCGAGTAAAAATTGTTCTGATATGATTAGGTATGATGCGTGGATTTTCGAAGCATTTGAGATATGTTATATTCTGATTTCTCTTGTAGCAATGCTGATGATCATGAATATGATTTCGAGACAATACGCAACATCGACGTAGTTAATACGGAGAAATGTTGGACCTTCCGGGAGGCGATGAAATACTGGAACATGTGTGTCCAGTATTGGATGGCCATGTACGTGTACAAGCGGTTCCCCAGCAAAAAATACCGAACGGCGGCAACTCTGGCTGTATCTGCCCTATGGCACGGCGTTTATGCTGGTTACTATTTCTGCATCTTTGCGGCACCGTTTTATCTCCCCGTCGAGGATTTGTACGTCAAACTATTCATCAAAGATGCCACCGGAACAAAGCGGCAGGTGTTGAATGTAATTTGCTGGATCTCGAAGTTTTTCGCCTTTTCCTACATGGGAATTGCGTTCCTGCTGTTGACCATTGAGAAGATTTGGTTCTACTATGGATCGGTATATCACTTTGCGTACATTATGTGGGTGGTGTTGTACGGAGCGGGTATTATGGTTGCTAAGGACAGAAAAGCCAAGGCCAGAAGAGCGGAAAAGGCACAGCAAAGTGCGGAGAATTAGCTCGAGTTGTTCCAGTTTGACAGCCTGCATGCAGCTGCAACGACCTGGATGGGTAGTAACTGAATCGAATCTATCGCCGTCATGAAAGTTTTGTCAGTAAGCATAAAGTAGACGACATTTGCATTTTGATATTTGGAATTTGGGCTCGCAGTGATTAACTATCGCTATTAATAGTGTTACTAACAAATGTTTAATATAAAACAGAGATTGTATTTATAGACATTACATAGTACATTCACCATCATGATATTGTTCGCTTGTTGTAGATACTTACATAAATACTAAACACTTGTGAGATGAAAATGTTAAATAAAATATTTTTTAGAACAGAATAGGTAAATTGTGTGATTGACTTGGATATACCTACCTGTTTTATAGACCTCTATGATTGCTTAAGTTTTAGTATTCCAAAGTGGGTAGCTCTAAATATAAGTTCAAGAAAACGTGTACACGGTATGTACGATCGCATTCTTGCATCTTTGCACACAAGCGATGGCATGACCTATGTGCATCTGTTTCGATGTAAAAAAGCGGCAAAAAAAAAGTTGTTGAATATTACATTGAAACTCCTGCATATGACATAGGTCATTCCATCGGTTGTGTAATATTACATTTTACGGTGTACACAAAAATCGCGTTCAAATTTACATCCATGGATGTAATATTGTATGTATCTGCTCGTGTATCCGCTTTTTGTTATTAAATCAATATTCCATATATCAGCATGAATTACGTTGATCGATATTACAAGCTGAACATTGCATTAGGTCCTAAAAAACATTGATCGATTCTCTTTCGTTAATAACTTGAGCACATAACTGTTTCTTGTTGAATGTATTGACATGGCCGTGGGGATACAAAGAGAAAGTCGACGAAGAGAAACTGTCAATGTTGCTTAGGACCTAATGCAATGTTCAGCTTGATTACATTTTTTGTTGCTATATACTCAACAACTTTTTATGCTATGTATCAATTTTAGCCAACCCTCTGCTATGAGATCCAGTTCTTGAAACAGCCATAAACATCAATAGTGCTGCTGCTCTATAACATGTAATATTAAATACGCAAGGTGACAACAAATGTAACGCCCTTAAATCCATTCTAAATTTCCCGCTATGGTTAATTAAAATTGATTAGGTATGTTGTTTTCATATTGACGAGCACAATTTGTGTGAATCATGCTTTACTATAAATTTATATAGAAAACTTTCTCTATTTTCCATATCTCAGAGCGACATGTATCTGGCTTAATCGTAGAGCAAAAGGAGAAGCTATCAAGTCAGCACACTGTAGAGCACCAGAGAAATTTAATTTAAAAAAATGTTTGTTCCTCAGAGCAGAGAATCGAATTTTTAATTTATTTTGTAAATATCGCCATATAAGTTTCATGGCAGGATCTCGTATTCTTTGATATTGACTCATATGAACATTTTTCAGACGGATCAACAGCTGAAGATCGGCGTCTATTACAATTGAGTCGAATCTAACCTCGTATTTTGGTTTCTGAGGCAGCTCTTGCCCAGTGTTAAGTGTTAAAATGTCCGTATGTAGTTTGGTATTACATTTTATAATACGTTCAGACTACACAGTTATAACATGTTATAGCGCTATCTTGATGGTGGTTTCTGTGTTTCAATTATTTGACAACCGTTATAACATGTTATAGTATTAACGAGCGCAGTCAAACAAACCGACTCATGTGTTGTAATTACATACTCAATCTAGCTCAGTATAATCAACAATCAATACGAAACTAACGATTTTAAATTGGCTCACTACTTGACTAGCCTATTGGTCCCAAGCAAACGATTAACGTATCTCATTCTAGTCGAAATTCTAGTACTACACAATGTTTGTTTTGATTCGCTATGAAAGTTTGACAGATAAAATGAGGGGTTAGTGGATTTTCCTATGTTCGGGGGGGGGGGTGAATCGATTAGCTTGGGACCGTAGAGAGTACCAGAGCTGAGCCAAAAAGTTGAGCTTGTTTCTTCGGGACCTTCTGGTCTTAGAGTTACCTCTATGGTATAATGGTATACACGCGAAAGACATTTGCACACACAAGAAAAAATGGCTTCAGCTAAGAAAACCGAGATTCTTCGGTTGAAAAGTCTGAAGTTGAACCGAAATGGAGCGTTTGACGTTAAAGAATGTTTACCGAATATTCAGTTCAGTTTACCGGGTTTTCTCGTTTTTCACGTACTTAACTCGTAAATATTGCTTCAGCCTTCGTTCCTATTTGTCAAATTTATCATATTGTATCCGAAATTCGGTTTTGACTCGAAAAATACGCCTGAAAAATATTTATAAACAATAGTCAAGTATTAGTACAAGACACTGAAGAAGTCTGCACATTGTAGACGAAATACGCGTATCTGTCAAGGATAAGCAAATAAGGTAGTGGAATTAAATGGAAATTACTAATCATTCTCTCTCTCTTTATACAGGTATTCCACTAAGACGCCCACATTCATCAGGATTTATAATCAAATTACTCGTTGATAACTGATGTGGTTGGGAATTTTCTAAGTATGTAAAATTTAAAACTGAACATGAATCATTCAACACTTTACATACATAATTTAACGTTTACCATTTGACATTTTTACTTCAAAATTTTAAATGTATTATTCAGCTGTGTGCGATACTGACTCGTCTTCTTCTTTAGGTGGCGGCCAGGGTAGACGCGACACGCGATGCTACTGAAAATTACACAAATGTCCAACTGTTGCAATAGTGATAAAAATTATCACCGATTGCCTGCAAACAGTGCATTCCCTAACACAGATTTCAAAATCGAATGGTGCTTATTCAATCACCGTGTGTGTCTTGTCGGTCGTCAGCAGCAGCAGCGGTGCTTTCGGCGCATAGCATTGAACATTGTACACAACGAAAGGCTGCCCGGAAGCTAGGTGCAGCCCACATGAGCGTCCATTCACCGAAGAAGGAGGAAGAAGGCTCACCGCTATTGATCGGGATCCATCTTTGTGAGTCGCTGTGGGCCATCTATGCCAAGTGCGTCGCCCTCGTTCCAAACAACATACAGCTCGCGAGCCGCATCCGTGTTGAACACCCTAATAGCTCAGCATTACTCAATCATCACGACAAAACGGTCCTTTTCAGATGTCAGTTCCCATATGTTAAAATCTAACATAGAGGAAATGGCTCTAATGTGTACTAATGGATATTTTTGGTCGCTATTGAAAATTTAGTCGATTGCTGAATTATATGGGCCCAAATTAGGGGCATTTCGGCCGACGTTACATCCAATTCCCCTACCATATATTTTTAAGGCAACATTGGCAGTTCAATTTCAGAATCCAAAGACGGTCGCGGAATGAATCTGGTCTGATTTTGATCTAGAGATGATGGATTTTAATTCTAAATACGCAAATCGATAGGATTTTTTTTCACGAATCTGTTAAAATTAAGGATTTATCATTTTTCAAATCTATGATCATAAAATGGTCACTGATTGCCTGCGGAAAGCGCTTTCCCTAACACGGATTTCAAAATTTAACTCCATCCGGTCTCAACGAACGCTTCAATCACCGCGTGTGGTGAGTGGTGGTGTTCTCCAGTTCACAACGAAAGGCTCCCCGCAAGCAGCTAGCTATCAAGGCTGTCCTCAACCGCTGATCGGATTCAGTGGCTAGTCGGGAGCTGTTGTGGGCCATCTATGCCAAGCGCGTTACCCTCGTTTCAAACAACATACAGCTCATCAGCCTCATCCGTGTTGAACAGCATTATTCAACCATGCGACAAAGCTGTTCTTTTCAGGACCACCATAAATTGTTGTTGTTTAAGAGTTAATTTTCATTGAACGTTCGCTCGCCTTGTTGCTAGCAACATCACCCCCATAGCTCTTTGATAATGTAGCCAGCAACAAACGTTTGTGGTCAAATGCGTCAAGTAATGAAATGGCTTCCAAATGGCAAGCTTCCAACCCATCGGTCCTTTTCAGGACCACAAATTACTGATACAAGAGTTAACTAAAGAGTAAGAGCTTGTATCCAAGAAATATCCAGGAGTGGCTTGTACTACATGGACATCGACAGAGCACACCTCACAAACAGAGGTACCTCACAAACAGAACTCTCAAATTGCTTCCGAATTTCAACCTATCGAACTTTTTCACTGATAACTAGTTAAGAAATCAATTTAAAATATACTATACTTTTGCTGTGGCATCAAAACTACCTTTCGTAATCATACTTTAAATCTACGGTCGTGTCTTGATACAACCTCTTGCTTTTTATTTTATATTAATAGTATGGTTATTTTTTCCGGGAAGCAGGGTTACTTCCACTCACTTGTTATAAAAAATGGTTTTTCGGGATTATGAAATATTTAGATGTTATAATTATAATTAGTACTTGTTTGTTACAATAAAAAGTTGTAAAGTAGGTGTTTGGCACATAAAACCTGTTAATATTGCTTTCAGAGCGTCACTATAAGCGATTTGACGATTCGTGAACGCTCACTCTGAGTGAACGCTCACGAATAATTAAATCGTTGATTGTGATGCTCTGAAAGCGTCATTATAACATCTAATGATTTCATAATTCAGAAAATCATTTTTTTATAGCAAGTGAGTGGAAGCAACCCTGCCGGGAAGACCTTTAGAAATGTTTGTCAATTAGAATTTCACATACTTTTATGTGATCTCATAATTGAGAATCGCACCAATAATCCATCACATGAAACTTATGTGTGCAATTAAATGTATGTGATTTATCACATAGAACTAATGTGATCATATGAATGGTATGTTAATTTCAGATAAAAATAATTAATTTTGTTATTGGAAAAATATCATGTGCGTTCCCAATGGAAACCATATGAAAACTTTTTTCAGTGAAGGCATATGCTGACATTACCAGACCTGTTTTTAACTACATAGATGTCATTTATTCCTTTCCCTTTTGACGTTCAATTTCGCATTCGTCTTTGCTGCTTGATGTTCATCCATCCGTCTGCTTGATGTCGGGGTGGGGAGGGGGGTCGCAAACTGGGGATGCGAACGACTGACGGACTACTACTACTGGTCAGTGGATCTCGCGGAACGTGTTTCAGTGTGGGGATTTCACTTCGCGTTTCGGGATTCGTTTTCCAGCGGAAATCTTATCTGGAACTGCCCTAAAACGTTTCTAAACCGGAGGTAAAGTATTGAGGATTGGGTGCGTGTAAACAGTGTTGGGAAAATATTGGATCCCGCTGCACAAATGGATGATTTTCCGATCGACTCGCGAAGGCTGCTAGAAAGTGAAAATTTTCATTCTGAAACTGCGTGTGCGTGAGTGTTTGTGTGCGTGTGAGAGTTGGATGAACAAACTTGTGCTTCGCTGCTGGGATCTGGTGTTTTTATCCGAAGAAAAAGTGACGTTTCATTAATTAGTTTTTGGTTTCGTTGGAGTTCAAAATTTACAATTTTCGGATCGCCTTTTGCTCAGATTAAACTAGTAAAAGTAAATGGTTTCAAACTTATAAACGCATGCAACTTATATCTGTGGAAACGACTCTGATAAAAGTATTGTTTATATGTTTGCAAGTGTCCATAATATGCGCTGTGATGGAGAATGTCGTTGTTCAAAAGAAGCCCTTTCGTTACATCTTATGCTACGTTTTTTTTTCTGTTTTCTCAACAGCTCGATGGCAACAGCAGCAGCCAGCAGCTGAAAGTGTCTGAAAGCAAAGCAAAGAAGCACAAAAGAAAAGAAAAAGCAAGAGACACAACACGGTGGACCAGCAGCCAGTCAGCGAAGACGACAGAGTGCAGAAAAATTTCACTTTCTATTTTTTAACTTTTATTTTTTATGACATACTTGCGTGAACTATTCGAAGGTTGATGAAAGAGGCCGTAGTTCAGTGAAGGATCGTAGTGTTCTTTTAGGCACCCGAAAATTCCGGAATCGGTTTCAGGATCGGAACATAGAGAAGTCAGTTTCCGATAGCGCTGTGCAAGTGAAAGGCAAAGGAGTTGGGAAACTTTTTCAGTTCGGAAGATAAAAGTGAAAACTGCACCTGAGTGAAGAAGGTTGCTGGGGTTGATATCGAGATTTCGGAAGTGAGTGCGCAAAATAAAAATTAAGCAATGCAGATATTTCACAGTGGCTCTGTACGATGATAATGATGACGTAGGCGACACGGGCAGTCAGAATGTGTGCTGAATTCTACCCACCATCCCATCGTCGTCGAAGCTAACATGTTGAATTGTTGTGGCAGTAAACCTGTTTTAGGGGTCGATTGAAGAAGAGATTTTTTTTGCTGCTGTTCGTCCCCCATATTGTAAGCGTGACAAAACCATTGGCGAATATTGTGAAACGTTTGAAGGTCTGTCTCCGCGACGGGGGCGAGAGTCTCTAACCCAGGAAGTGAATCCAAAGTAGACCGGGAACAAATGGCTACAACCGAGGAGAAGAAGCCCAAGGAAAAGCAAGACGATGGAGAGAAACGAGTCGGATGTGCACACTACAAGCGACGTGCCAAGTTTGTGGTAGGTTTCTTCTTGTTTTTTTTTCAGAATTGTTCAGGTGTTCAGCTTTGGTAGAAAATGTGAATTTTATTCGAAACCACGAAAATATTATTGATAGGTATGCATTTATGTAATGGTTGTATACCAGTCCTTAGTAAAATAACCGGAAAGGAACTAATGGCCGTAAGTAGAAAGTCTTTTTATAAACAATGGTTGGTAACCAAAAAAAAAGCATTGAAGAGTTTTTAAAGTGGGAGTCGTGCAAGTCGTGGTTGATATACGCGTATTTGTCAAATTATGGGTAATGCTTGTGACTTGTGTTTCATTTTAGTCTAAAAATTAACTTTTTTCTAACGCGAATATTTTAAAAGTGTGACTAACTGAAAATATAAGAAATCTTGTAAATTGCAGCATCAGAAAATAAGGTTTACCAATAGTTACAAATAGCTTACCAGAAATATTTCTTCATCAGCTACATAACTGGTGCTCTGGAACTATTTTGAATAATTGCGATTACATTAGCACAAATCAGCATCTTAACGTCCATGAATGGAGCGTTAGCGAGTTAGCGGGAGCGAGCTGTCAAATTGTTAGTTTAGTGTCGAACAGTGAATTTATTATTTTGCTTTAAATTTTAATTTAAAAATCGAGATGAAAGTCTATGGGTTCGAAAAAAAATTTCGTTGTGCTCAGAAAATGATGCTCTTTTAAGATGATGTATAATACCTATATATATTTTTCAAAATTAATGAACTCAATTATGCAAATCATGTTTAAAGTTACTTGATGCTTTTAATTCTTGAGAGAATAATTCTCGCGTCACTTTCCAAACAGACCAATCTACATTGATCGATTCTCTTAATAGACTCTCTGTTTCGTTAATAGCTCAGCTCCAAAAACATGTTCAGTTGTTCTTTTAGCGAAAAAATACCCCGAAATATGAATGCAGTCAACGAAAGAGAGAATCGATCAATGTAGATAGAAACTACTGAAAAGTGACGCGAGAATTGCTTCTTTTAAATCTGTTCACACTTACTTACCTTACCAATCAGGCTAAGACCTTAATGTCCAGTGCTGTCCGAAGAAGTCGTCTCCACTCTACTCGATCCATGATCGGCCACACGTCGCCAGACTCGTAGTCTGCGAAGAGTCCGCAGGTCGCCTTCTACTTAGTCGATCCACCTTGCCCGCTGCGTGCCTCTCCTTCTTGTTCTTGTTGGGTCACTTTCGAGAACCATTTTCACTCCATTCACCATTTTCAGTCCCCCTTATTCTGCGCCGCGAGTGAGGTGACTCATTGATGTAAATCAAATGGTTCAAAATTTTCTCCTAACTACGGACTGTTATCATGCAAAATGTGAAAACAACATCAAGTCAGTTTGTCCCATCAAGCAAAGTAATCGCATATCAGTCACATCCTGAAATTCAATCGTCTAGCTGCTTTTTGAATTGTCATATTTTTCACTGATATTACAAAACATGCAAGTTGCATTGCAACTGATTGTAACTTGAAAAATATCAGTAAATTTACTTCGATTTTTCAAATATTTACATGGAAATTGCACATCGCAACTTCGAGTGCCATTTTTTCAATGCCTGCTTTTTACATATGGGACTGATATGTTATTATATGCAATACAGGACAAGGAGAATTTCTACAGTCAACTGAATGCTGCCGCGGATAAGGTCCCGAAGGGTGACAGCAAGATCTACGCTGGCGACTTCAATGTAAAGATCGGTTCCAACAACATGGACAGAATTTGGTAGCAATAACGACATGGTGATCGGGGGCTTGCTCTTCCCCCATCGACCAGTGCACAAAGTTACGTGGTTTTCCCGTGACGGACATACCGAGAATCAAATTGACCACATCTGCATCAGCTAAAAATGAAGACGGTGCCTTCGTGATTTCCGGAAATAAACGCAGCGCTGACGTCGCTTCTGATATTCTTCTTCTTCGCATTTCGAGCTTATTGCATATCGCATATTAGCTTATTGCGTGCTCTCTATTTAGTGTTCTATAGATGCACTTCCACAGTTATTAATTGAGAGCTTTCGATGCCTGTACCATTTTGCATTGGTATAATTGTGTGGCAAGTCCAATCATACTTCTATGCCCAGGGAAGTCGAGAAATTTTCCAACCCGAAAAATTCCTAGACCGGACCGGGAATCGAACCCAGCCACCTCCAGCATGGTCTTGCTTTGTAGCTGTGCCTTTACCGACTGAGCTAAGAAAGGCCCCGCCTCTGACCACCATCTTCTAATTGGTGATATCCTCCTCTGCATTGCGCGGATATTCCAGAAGGTAGCAGCTTAGAAGAACAATAGACGGCTATCAAGAATGCCTTTATCGAGACGAGTGGAAATAACCTGGTGAGCTGCGCACTGGGGGCTTAGCTCAGTCAGTAAAGGCGCTGTGATCGATTCCCGGTCAGATCTAGGATTTTTTTTGGGTTGGAAAATTTCAACGGTACTCGGCTTTACAGCAGGAAATCAAGCGGTCCTGCAGACGGGACAAGCGAGCGTGGGTGGCTGATGAGGAGGAGAAAGCCGCAACAACTGGCGATATTCGACTCCTTTACGATATCTCACGACGCATGCCTGGAACAAGAATGTACCCAAGGATGCCAGTAAAAGACACGACTGGGCAGTTGCTTACCGACCCCATTGACCAGCTGAAACGATGGTTTGAGCACATCGTACCACGAATTCAAGTTTCAACGTCCAACCAGCCATCAACATCGCGCATCAACTCCGAAGCTCCATCACTGCAGTAGATATAAGCAGCTATTCAAAGCATGAAATCCAACAAGCCTTTCTGGGTCGATCGCATATCAGCAGTGATTCTCAAAGCCGAGCCCATACTATCCGCATACATTTTGCATCGATTACATGTTCACATGTTTTGTTTTGAAGAAACAAAACAAAAAGCACTGGAATCCTATCCCAGATCATAACTGTCGTGACTCTCGATTCGTTGCTCATAAATTCTCTCGGAAAAGGACTACACTGACGGCCTCGGCCTCGCTTCGAGCGAGAACGTTCTCGGGGGTTCCATTTTCCGACTGGACAATAGGTTCTACTGGATTGGAGTATGATGAGGACCTAGATGTACCACAGGTGACTGTGGTAAGCAGACGAAGCGAGCGTGCATCATCAGAAGAAACTGGTCCAGATGCTCTTCAGATTCTGATGAACGCTTCCAGGAGGAGTTTCTCCCGAAAGCCATCGACTCAGTCAAAGATGCGTCGTCAACATTCTAGTGGGAGTTGCAACCGGAATCAGACTTCCCTGGTGGAGGTGGGGTTTAATACTCGGTTTAATATGGAGTGAAGTATGATGTCGCTAGTGAAAAGCAGTGCCGGCCAGAGAACCTACCTACCTCCGAACATGGTCTGAATGATCATCGAAGGCGAATTTATCGATATCAGTTACGATGAAGAACGAATCAAGAAAGTGAATGTCGGTTGGCTGATCAACGAAGTGGTGAAGCGTTAAGAAATCAAACATGGTAAACCACCACTGATAAAACTACTACCAACCGGTGGAAACTAACGATTTTAAATTGAATCACTACTTGACTAGCCTATTGGTCCCAAGCAAGTCGATTAACGTACCCCATTCCAGTCGAAATTCTACACTGAAACAAATCGACATGTACCGTTTATTGGATCCATCTTATAACATAGCAATGTCAGCAGATTTATTCATTCTATGTGATGATTGATAGATTCCATTGGATTATCACTTAAAAACTATGACTGCGATATGGAATGATTTCTATCGTAATTTCACATACTTAGTACTTGATAATACTTTGCTTCGAACGTGGTTAGCGATAGGTAATAAGTATATGAATATTGTCTGATATATTTCATGGTGTTGATATGTCATGGGTGGGAACAGACATCTAGAAACTAATGGAAAATCATATAAGTTTGCACTATGAGAAAATCCAGTAAAATCTACCTGTTTTCATGATGAATATTGCTCACTAAAATGTATATCTTATAAGATAATGATGTATATTTTATTAGAGTTGCAATGATTTTTGACGTTTGTTGATATGTCGTGTGTAAACAGACATGAAGAAACTATTGGACTGTCATTTAACTTTGCAGTATAGGAAAACATGTATATCTCATTGGAATAGCTTCCTTTGATTTTTGAGGTTTAAAGATTGTAAACAGATCCATCCCAACCATTTAATAGTCATATAGATATGCCTTTTAAGAAATCCAACAGCAAACGTTTGTTTTTGCATGTTTTTCTGGGCTGAATATCGCTCCCAATAAAATACATCTTACATGATTGTTCTTTATAAATTATTGAAACAATTTTCAACGATGTTATCGTACACTCATTAAAATGATTAGTTGAACTAAATACTACTAACATCAATGATACTGTATTGAATAATCTTTGTTTGTTTCCGGAAAAGAATGTATTGAGATTGAAAAAAAATGATTCTACTGCAATATTTACTTTGCTATGATTCTAATTGTAAGCCTTCTACACGGCTAATTCAGATTCCAGCCCTAGTACTCGAACTTCATGAACCAGTTACATCAACTTATATAATTTAGTCGTTGATTTATTGCACACAGGTGCATTAAGAAAGATTTGAACAAACCACACCACCGAAACGGAACATAAATTTGTCAGTGCTATTTGTCTTCACTCTAGCAAAACGAGCATAACGTTGCACTGCATTCCATGTCGGGAGAGCTGTTCTTACTTCATGCTATTTGAACGAGCTCAATCTTGAAGTCAGTCGTGGCCCAGTGAAATCGAGCGCAGACACCGAAAGCATCACACCTCAACAGTCCTTGATCGAATCCTAAATCAGCTACAATAAAAAAGGCACAACTGTGAAAGCTCCCACTGCCTAATGTTTATTTTTCGATTTATTTTTAGAAATCGATTAAATATATGTGTCAATAGAAGAAGTAAATTTCATGTGATTTTCACACAAATTTTACTTCGATTGATTTATGACACATATATTATATTGTGGTGA